GAGTTTTTTAACCTGAAGAATGTTGCTCCTTGCATGACAGAAACTAACTTCTTACATTTCTTATTTGCTTCAGATGAATTCATCTTTTTTTCCTGTTCATGACTCAGACATGTAGATATAAGAAGGGCCTAAAGGCACTGAGGTGAGGAATAAACTGCTAGTTTTTCCTGAAGGATGAGGATTTAGAGATGATCACAGGAGACCTAGGTTGATGGACATAACCCTGTTTGCTCATGGGTTTCATCTCAGCAGAGTTTAGTGACCTCTGGACAATCTAGTTAATTTACTAGAGTTAATGCCTAGATGGTGGTTTAGTTGCTAAATTGTGCCTGACTCTTGCAACCTCATGGACTGCAGCCTGCCAGGCACCTAAGTCCATGGGATTCTCCAGGCAAGAATACTGGAGTGGGTTGCCATTTCCTTCTCCAGAGGATCTTCCTGACCCAGGAATCGAACCCAGGTCTCCTGCATTGCAGGAAGATTCTTTACCAACTGAGCTATGAGGGAAGTTACCTGAGTTAATGCCTAAGGCATAGGCTATTTGGAAAGCATATCCCTTTGAACTGAAAATCAAGTTGAAGATAACGATTTGGGGATATTTCACCAGCTGTTTAGGAAATCCTGGACTCTCCTGTAGTCTATATTTACAACTCTGTAAGCTTGCAAAGACACTAAGAGTTAAATATGTCCCTTTTCTGTGAAGCTTCTTTAAAATTCTTATCTGGGTTACTCATATACATATTATATATGTATATATGTGAATAGCCAACTGAGATTTCATAGCTTTCATTTAACATATTTAGTTGGATCTTTTCAACCAAAGTATATAAATCTGCAATGTATTCTAATGTAACCCAATTAGAGTTACTAACGCCATCTGTATATATATATTTTTGGTTCAGTTGTCAAAAAGCATACAAATACAATCCTTGTAATACAATATTCAATAGTTGTATAATGTTTCTTTTTACTATACTTCATTTAACTTTTTTCTATTTTCAACAGGATCAATTTTCATTTTCTTCCTTTTACAATTAGTATCTTACTACATATTTGAACATATAAATCTCTGCCCACATCTCTGATATTTTTCCTGGGATACATTATTAGAAGTGCAATTACTATAGCAAAGTATATAAAATCTTAAACTAAAGGTTTAAAAATAAAAACAAACATATGTATAGTAATTAAAGACTCAAACAGCGCAAGGCTTCTAACAAAATATCCTATCACTCTTCAGACCTTGTCTGTCTCATTTTTCCTCTCTTTGGCTAGTTCTTCTATCTTCAAGTACTGTTCTTTCTTGATTTTTAAGTTTTAGACATTATCTATTGATCCTATTATGATAACAGGAATAATTAAATTTCTTATATGGCCAAACACATTCCTTTCCCTTACCCTCTCCTCAGTGATTGTATTTTTTGGTTTAAATTAGTATTTGGTATTCATATTTTTATGCTATATAAATATTATTCTCTAAGCCATGTAAAGTATTATGATTACATTTCCTTTCTTATACATTAAAATTTTTTCACTATAGCTAAAAACTGCCTCATTTAATTTCACATGTTTAATGCGGCTGTTTAAAGAAGTGGACCCCAAACTGATAGAAACTGTTAGCAGTGATAGATGAGGTACGCAGGTGCCTCCCCTTGATTCTGGGTGGGCTTGTGATTATTTTCAAAGGAGACCATGAAAACGAGAGGTGACACCAGAGGCTGGTCATAGAAGAAAACGCGGCCTCTGCCTTATTTGCTGGAAGGACGCTCTGTGTTTGGAGTTCTGAGTTGGCAAGTAAGTAGTCTGACTACTCCGAGGCGGCCATTTTGTGAGAAGCCAAGCTAAGTTGGGGTGGGGGGGGATGTATGAATACCTGGGTTGGTAAAAAACCTCGTTTTCTTGACAGCCCATCCCAAGTGCCAGATGTGACTAGAGTCTCCAAATTATTCCAGTCTCCAGCATCACTGAATCACCTCCAGCTTCTGAGTCTTTCTGCCTGAGGTCCCAGACATCATGGAGCAGTCATCCCCTCTGTGCACTGTCCAAATTCCATCCATGAACATAATAAAATGGTTATTATTATTACTATATTTTTTTGGCCAGGCCGTGCAGCATGTGGGATCTTAGTTCCCTAACCAGAGATCAACCCCACACCCCTTGCATTGGAAGCTCAGAGCCTTAACCACTGGACCACCGGGGAAGTCCCCTAAAATGGTTATTTTAAGCAGTTAAGTTTTGGGGTCATGTGTCAGGCAACAGTAGTAACTAGTACACTTAGTTTTTATGTTCCTGTCATTAACAGTTCCTAAATTCTCAATATGGCCAAGCACATTAGGGGATCATCAGTTCCATGTTTTCCTTAGAGATATTTCTTCTGGAGATCTCTGTCCTCTTGTTCCAATCTGGCTTGGATGCAGAGCCATCAGCCGAGGACTTGCTTGGATGAGAGATAGTACAGCATGTTACTGTATTTAAGGATATGGGTCCTGTAGTCAGGCTGCGTGAGTCTGCATACTGGCTCCATCACTTGCCAGAGCTGCGTGACTGTGCTCAAGTTAACCTCTCTTTGCCTCAGGTTTCTCATTAGCAAGAGCAGGTGGCACACAGTAAGTGCTCTTATTGTTGGCATTCTTCTTTCTTGTTGTTTATTACTCTTCCTTTCACGGCGTCCTGGGAATTCCTCTCACTTCACACCTATGGCTGATGCCCTAGTTCCTAAACTCCATGCCTTTTTCTTTCTTCTTTACTCCCTTGATAGAATATATAACCAGTTTCCTAAAAAAAAAGAATGTGCTTAGGAGGTTTTTTTGAAATGCAGTTTTAAGTTGTCTTTATTTAATATCACATTTGCTAGTACGACTGGCATAAAATTCTAAGCTGGAAACAATTTCTCTTTGAATGTTGAAGTTATTACTTCATTGCTTTGAAGCTTTCAGTGTCACCACTAAGATAATACTAACTCTTGATCCTTCGTACATTGGTATTTCTTTTTCTTTCTGGAAGTATTAGATCTCTTCTTTATCCCCACTGTTTCACAATTTGATAATGATAGTACTTGGTGTCGGTCTTTTAAAATTCATAATTTAGAATACCATTTCAATTTGGAGACATCTTCAGGTCCCTCAATTCTTAGAATTTTTCTTTTCTTTAATTCTTTGTTAATTTTTTCATCTCCATTTTCAGTTCTCTTTCTGGGACTCATCATAGATGCAAGATCTTTCAATTGGTCCTCTAATTTTCTTATCTTTTCTATTTTTCTATTGTCTTTTTAGTCAGTTTTCTGGGGATTTTCTTATTTATTTATTCTATTCTTCTGATTTTTTTTTAAAGCTCTACTTTCATATTTTTATACTTTATAATTCTGATGTCTTATTTTTGAATTGTCCCATTTTACATATCACCTGTTCCTTTTGTCTTAAATGATTTTATTTATTTCTTTATGTTTGGCTGTGCTGGGCCTCCACTGCCGTGAAGGCTTTTCTCTAGTTGCAGCAAGCGGGGGCCCCTCTCAAGCTGGCGTGCGGGCTCTCGCTGCAGTGGCCTCTCCTGTTGAGCAGCACAGGCTCTGGAGCACACGGGCTTCAGTAGTTGTGGCGTGCGGGCTCCGCAGTTCCAGTTCCCAGGCCCTAGAGCACAGGCTCGTAGTTGCGGCCCCTGGGCTTAGCTGCTCCGTGGCATGTGGGATCTTCCTGGATCAGGGATTGAACCTGTGTCTCCAGCACTGGCAGCCAGATTCTTTACCCCTGAGCCACCAGGGAAGCCCACCATATCACTTGTTCTTATTTTATGGATTTATTATCTTATCTCACTGAATATATTGATTACTGTACATTTGAATTTTTTTTTCCCCTTGCACTATTTCTTTTTTTTTTAATCAGTTAGCTTTTGACTTGTTCTTTCAAGGTAGAGGCTGCTCTGAAATGCCCAGGGGTCCTTTATTAGCTATTCTACTTCAGTTGGATATTTCTGTGCCCTTGGACACTCTGAGGCTTGTCAACTGTTGGACCTCACTGTAAAGCAGCTGGTCAGGGACACGGCATGTTTACTGAGGGAGCCCCAAAGGTCCACATCTGCAGGGCTTTTCCTCTGAGTTTGACAGGTTCCCCAGAAAGGAATCCTCTCGTTTTCTACCTGGTGAATATGAGGAATTTTAAGCTGGCTGTTGGCATTTTGAGATCTATTATGGAGGAGGCAGGGGAGAGGGAAAATCTTATTTTTCCAAAAGCAGGTATCTCTGCTCTCTCTGCTCTATGTTATCTACCTCCACCTCAACTGTGCCTGGTTCCCCAGGTTGTGTATCAGATTAACCCAATCAATTAGAACCACCAAGTTAAATAAATTTCATGAAGCTCTGGATAAAAGGCCAAGAACTTTTTAATCCAGAGTTTCTGGATCAAAAAAAATCCAAAAAAGTCTCCTCTCATCTTCCATACCTTCTCTCTCCCGTAAAAAAGTAGAAAATTTATCCAACTCAAGTCCCTTAACTCCTCCCACTTAACCATACTTTTTTTTTTCTTTCTTCTTTGATAATGCCTCAGAACTTGAGTATTCAGGGCCCAAGTTTGTTTTAAAATAACCCAATGAGCTGACAGACGGAGCTCCTGGAATTCTGCAGCTTGTGCTAGAGTCTACAGATGGGAAACTGCCGTCAGTTAAAGGGCGGTGCTATTACCATAGCCCAATTTTTGAAAGCCTTTAGGAAAAAAAGTCATCTGAGTTAATTAGCATTCACCACAGGCACTAGTTTTGTATTACAGTATTCTATAAACTCAAATAACAAGAAAATACAGTGTTGTAGTCTCTAACTTTTAACTAACATTTAACTCTCAAAAATTGTATATTATAAAGTAAGAGTTTTACCTGTTACATGAATAAGCTCTTATATGACCGATATATATGCTCTATATGACTATTGCTCTTAGACTGTCATAAAATATGAGTTATGTTTTAAAATTAACTAAATACTATTGGTATCTAAAATAAGAGCAATTTCATTTTACCTCTCCGATCTGCTTTATCCACAAATCTCTTCCAAGAAACTCCTGGTGTAAGACTACAGGAGCTGAGTTCAGATTAAAAGTCGAGGAGTCACTGGTCTTTTCTTTAATAAAAGGCTGGAGATCAGAATTTATCTAGAAAGAGTAGTCAAAGAGTTAAATCAGTAAATGCATATACATTGGCATGTTTCAATAATATTCAGAAAGCACCAGTTATAGAGTGAAAAATAAAGCTTAAGGAACAGTTTTTAGATGTACTGTAATAAGCAAAAGAACAGCTCATATGATTAACAATAATCTTAAAAATTTTTTTAATAGTTTTTCCCTAACATATTCCTTTTCTATTTAAATTTATTTTCATTTTTAAGTTTAAGCTAAGGATTTAGAAATTATATTTATTTTATAAATATAATTGCTTAATAAACTAATCAATGATTTAATAAAGTACATAAAAACTCATCTGGAAAAATTACATATTTCTGTACATATTTCCCCCTTCTTATGAGCTACTTAAGCAGCATCTAAGAAATACATACTAAATGGAATTTAAAATAACATATACATAGATATAACAATATAGAAGCTAATCTTGAGACATTTTTTAAAAATTTATTTTTAATTGGAGGATAACTGCTTTATAGTGTGTGGTTTCTGCTGCACAATGTGAATCGGGCACAAATATACATATATCTCCTCTCTCTTCAACCTCCCTCCCTTAAGACATTTTATATTTCAGTTATTGGAATTAAAGCTTTCAATTTTATTCCATATATTTCTAAATTTCATAACTTTCCACAATATGTTTTACATAGGAACTATAAGGAAACTGTAACAAAAATCTAAATATTCTTGCATTTTGTTACTAGCAACATTATATGTTATTTAATAATTTGCAACAATTCTTTCAAGACCCTTTCAGGTGGTAAGAAAAGACAAACATCACAAATATGGCTCAAGTAAGCTCTAGCTTTCTATCAAAATTATGCAGTACTCACTAATCATACTGTTTATATTACATAATAATCACCATGAACAATAGATTTTATGTACTCAATAAACAGTTTCTGATATATAAAGCAGTTTATTAAATGGTAAAAGACTTCTTGTGTATCATTTTAGCTATTTAAATACTGAAAAAACAAAGGGTGTGCAAATACCTTATGACTCATAGCCATGTGCTTCCCATACTGAAATGCCATATCCTGAACCTCAGCATCATGCTTTGCTAATTCCATCGCAGCTTGGCAGCTCTTTGCTAGTAAGGCCCCATGGGAGAGAAAAGTCTGCTCCTTCCAAGTCGATATTCCAATATCATCTGTGATATGATTTTCCTAAAAAATGCAACAAAAGCCAAGATTAAAAAGATTTTAGGAGTAATTTAATTGTTTCAGTTTTTGAAGAACAAGTGTTAAGAAATGAACTATTGGGACGTTCCTAGTGATCCAGTAGCTAGGACTCTGTGCTCCCAATGCAGGGGACTGAAGTTCGATCACTGGTCAGGGAAATAGATCCCACATGCCCGAACCAAGAGTTTGCATGTTGCAACTAAGGATCCCATGAGCTGCAACTAAGACCCGGCACAGTTAAATAATTTCTTTTTTAAAAAATGAAATGAACTATTTAAAACACTCAGGTTATCACAACAAGATATAACTAAAGGATGTTGACCCTCACCTCCACCTGAAGGGAACTAAGGAGGTGGGAACTGTTTTTTAGGGTAATTGAGAAAAATGAAAGAAATGTTGAAGCAAATTTTATTTTGAACTAAGGAATTTCTATTAAAATATACTTTAGGGGGAAAAAAAAAAAATATATATATATATATATATATATATACTTTAGGGGAATTCCCCGGCAGTCCAGTGGTTAGGGCTCTGCGCTTCCAGTGCTGGGGACTCAGGACAGATCCCTGGTCAGAAAACTAAGGTTCTACAAGTCACGTGGCAAAAACAAACAAAACAAATTTTAAAAATTATATAAAAAGTATACATCTGTAGATATCTATCTATATCTCTCTATATATACACTCACAGGATAAGGCAAAAATATAAACAGAAACTTTAACCTTCAAACTAACTCTTCTATATTTGTATCAGTTCTTAATTAAGTGCTAGTATTCCAAGATACAAGAATCCTATTGTCTTTAACTTATGTTAAAACGTCAAGGGCATAATGAAGGAACTGCATTCTCTTATAACCAGGTAGACAGAAAAATCAGAGAGGAGGTAAACCATTATTATAATGGAGTATGATTAAATAACACTATTCAACAAAGTTTATTCCCACAAGAAGAAAAAAGGTATAAGGGACAAAATAATTGTAGTTTATTTAATTTCATCTTTTTACATTACAAAAATTACAGTAGTGTCTTTAAGTAAGCATACACAAACCTACTGACTGTAGACCAGTGATGTCAAATAAAAACATAATGTATATCTCATATGCAATTAAAAATTTGCTAGTAGCTACATTAAAAAAGTGAAAATAAACAGGTGGCATTAATCTTAATGACATATTTTATCTCCTAATATATCTAAAATATTACTAAAACATATAATCAATATTAATCATATACAATCATACATAATCATAATTACTATTAAAATATTTTATATTCTTTTTTATACTAAGTTTTCAAAATCAGTGTGTATTTTCCACTTATAGTATATCACCAGTGACATTTCGAGTACTCAACAGGTACAAGGAGTTGGTGTCTATCCTAGTGTACAGCTCTACTTTAGGCAGTGAGCTCTCTGAGGAGAATGATGAAGCCATATGTAGAACAAAGCTCATTTCACAGTGTTTCTTTGAAACCTCTAACTAGAAAGCATCCATTAATTCAAAAAGATTAATGAACCTAAACACTTTACTTCCTGCTGCCCACACCGCAATCCTTCTTCCATCATTATGTGGTGACAAAATAAAAAACAGTAAGAAAACTTAAAGAGAGGTCATTAAAAAATGACCTCAGATTTAGCCCCAACTCTTTCACCATGCTGAAGGGAATCTTCAATCCATCGATCAGATCAAATTCTCAATTTTACATGCTTTTAAACAAAACGAGAGTTCCACTTATAGCAACAGTTACAAATACGCAACCTACTATTGTGTAATAATCAAAAAAGCCACACAGGGAGAAACAGTGAATAGACTGCTTCATAAAACATTACAGATAAATAACAGCATTTAATTTTAGAAATTTGAGAATGGATTTTAAAATGTGCAAAGTTAATATATCATACTAATAAGCCTAGATAAAAACCATATTATCTCTCCAGATATACTAAAGATGAATTCGACAAAATTCTATTCTTGATGGGGAAAAAAAGCACTTACTAAAATAAGATATGTATTTTTTTTAATGTATATACTGCAATCCTATTTCAAATCCATAAATGAAGTTAGCGTGTAGAAAATTTAAATGAAACAGTACAGTAAAAATAGAAGAGAACCAAAAAATCTAAAAAGGCAGCATACCTAAAGCATGAGAATTCATTAAAGCTTCATTTTGGGGTTTTGATTGACACTTGACGGTTGCAAATTTTGAAACAAACTTTGATATCACAATGAGATATCACAATGAGATTTCAGCACCAGCACTAAGATTTGTACGTTCAGTTGGTTTGCAATTGACTTATCAGCCATTTACACAGTGTATAGTACAGATTTGTCACAGGACAGATCACAGTGTTAAACGAAAGAACCTTCCTGTAATGAGACAGGATCCCTTAAATTGCACACAGCTTACGACATCCAACATACAAGAGCATAAAAACCATCATAATATTGTGATTCCAAGAAAGACAGTTTTGGTCAGGAAGATAACCTAAGATCCTATTTCCCATTTTAATTTCTAAAATCTCTTACAATGACAAAACTGTCACGTAGGACAGAAAGTATACAGTGCTGGGAAATATAATGTGATTCAGCACTGGTTCTTTTTGTCATTTAACACAGACATCATGTTAATATTAGACCAAAGCATAAAACGTTTAGCGCATAAACCAGTTTCTCTTTTAAGACCTAGGAATTTTATCACAGTCTTTTATCTTAATTTGGACCACTTATACCCAGTACTCTATCCTACTATAGACTGTTTAACTTAGTCAACAAAATCAAAAGTAATTTCTGGTGAGATTTATGGGGGACATAAACATTTATATCATTAAAGTGTCTGCATAACCAAAAGTACAATAATAAAAATGAAAATGCCTCCTGTTCCTTTTAGAAAAATAGTACTTCATAAGCTTCCTGCATTTTTATTGCCTTTATGATTGCATGACAATGAATAGTGGATAGAAAAAAAGAACTATATACTTGAATTATGATAGCTTAATCCATCACAAATTAATCTAAAAATGAAGCTTTTAGGGGTTTCCTTGGTGGTCCAGTGGATAAGACTCTGTGCTCCCAAGGCAGGGGGCCCTGGTCTGATCCCTGGTCAGGGAACTCGGTCCCAAAGGCCGCACTAAGAATTTGCATGCTGCAACTAAAGATCCCAAGTGCTGCAACTAAGACCCGGGACAGCCAAATAAATAAATAAATGAAGTTTCTACAGAAACAGGAACTATTTTTTGAAAGATTTATTTCTTTATTTATTTTTGGCTGTGGTTGGTCTTCGTTATTGCACGAGGGCTTTCTCTAGTTGCAGGGAGCAGGGGCTACCTTTCATTGCTGTGGGCAGGCTTCTCATTGTGGTGGCTTCTCCAACCTTGTGGAGCAAAGGCTCTAGGGCGTATGAGCTTCAGTAGTTGCAGCGAGCGGGCTCCAGAGCACAAGCTCAGTACTAGTGGCTCATGGGCTTAGTTGCTCCACGGCATGTGGGATCTTCCTGGACCAGGGATTGAACCAGGTTCCCTCACCTTGCAAGGTGGATTCTTAACCACTGGACCACCAGGGAAGCCCAGGAACTATTTTAATAAGGGGGAAAAAAATGCCCTCATTCCAGATGTGTATTTCTTTAATATGACAAGTGTGTGTGTGTGCATACACATGCACACACATGATCATCCAAAAGTTAGCAAACACTTTATAGGGAAACATATGACCCTTTCTTCCTAAAATTAGGAACAGGACAGTGCTGAACACAATACCATGGCTATTTAACAATGTACTAGAAGTGGTGAAAAAAGGATAGATGTATAAAAATTAGAAATGAAAGGTTTATCACTATTCGAAGATAATATAACTGCATATTGGGGAAAACCAAGAGACCCAAATGAACAATTACTAAAGCAAAAAGATAATTCAGTAGGGTAGAAAATATTAAATCATAAAACCTCAGTAATTTTTTAAGAATGTGTGCCTTTAAACAGACAGACAATGAAACAAAATAGGAAGTCCAGGAATCAAACTACACACGGGAATTTAACATATTTTAGGGAAAAGTTGGACTTTTTAGTAAATGGCGCTGGAATAACTGAACAACCTTCTGGGAAAAACACTAACACTGACCTGCATATCACACAATTTATCAGGATAAACTCCACATGGTAAAAATAAAAACAAAAGAACCACAGACAATAATTGAAGACAAAAGACAACAAGGAAAAGTATTGGATTGGCCAAAAAAGGTCATTTGGGTTTTCCCATAACATCTTAACAGGAAAACCCGAACAACTTTTTTGGCCAACCAAACATTTGCATTTCCTATCACAGATGAATGACAGATCTTCCTATGGTTGGCTAATCATGATCCCCCACAAAGACAGTCACATCCTAATCCCTGGAGTCTGTGAATGTCACCTTACATGGTAAAAGGGGACTTTGCAGTTCTGATTAAATTCAGGCTCTTCAGTTCAGTTCGGTTCAGTTGCTCATTCATGTCTGGCTCTTTGCAATCTTATGGACAGCAGAATGTCAGGCTTCACTGTCCATCACCAACTCCCGGAGATGGAGGAATTATCCCATACTGGATGAACCTAATGCAGTCAAAAGAATCCTCATGAAAGGGAAGTAGCAAGGATCAAAAATGGCGGATGAAGCCACAAACCAAAAAATAAAAGTGGAGACTAGAAAGGGTAAGGAAAGGGATTCTCCCCTAGAGCCTCCAGAAGGAATGCAACCCTGACAACATCTTGATTTGGGGGCTTCTGATCTAAAACACCCACACTTTCCATCTCCTTAAGGCTTCACTTAGTGTTGGTGAGGCTGTAAAGAAACAGACCTATCAAATATGACTGGTAGAAGTGGAAACTGGATAGAAATTTTGTAATTTCTTTCACAATTACCAATGTATTTGCCCTGTGACCTGTCAGTCCTACTTTCAGGAATTAATCCTTCATATAAGCCCCCACACTTGTGAAATTAAATACATACAAGGTTATGGTCT